CAACTCTAGATCCATCTCCGTGACCGTGATATCTTGTAAATGCGCCATTGTTGTTTTGGAAGATAAACACTCCTGGCGACGCCGCCAAAGTTCTCGTGACCATCTGCCGAACTTCTCACGAGTTCTCGAATAGGCTCCCCCTTGCGCTTTGGCGGGAAACTGCTGTGCATCCCTAAAAATTCCAGAAAGATGGTGCAGAAGCATATCAGCAAAACTGGTTCGTGACCAGACCCAAGCGACATTTGATGAGTGCGGATGCAGAACTATAATCTGGCCTTAAGGTGTGATTTCATCTGTGCCGTCAGCGACACAGCTAGTTAGAAATGTCCAACTTTTACTCAAACAAAACTGTGTTCAAGAGGTAAAACAAGATGACATAAGGAAGAGAGGGGGGGGGGGGGCAGTAAAGGGAAGACAGTGATGGTAAGAAATAAAGGAAAGGAACAAGGAGGGGAGGCAGGACACCACATTAAAAACTACAGAGGGACACCTAGAAAAAGGTTGGTTTAAAACATGGAAGGAAACAAGAAAGGAAACAAAGGACATATAGGGAAGAAGACAACCACATAGGGAGGAAACTAGGAGGCAAGGAGGGTAGGATAAATGCACAGAGGAGGAAAAATCCCAAAGAAAGAATAAACATTTAAAAAATAGGGCCTATAAATATATATATGATTCCTTTTTAAGATAGTTGGAAAATACGTACTAAAATCTGCTTTAAGACTCTAAGAACAACTTATCTGCAAACTGAACCCTTAGCAGCCCAGCATTTCCCTGCATACAGTGAACCTCAACGTTTGCTTTTCCCTGCAGGGACCCATAGTTTGGATGCGCGGTGATATTTATGTAATAATGCGCCTAGTGTGTAAAAACAACTAAAACCCAAATATAGCAGGAATAAACACAGAGGATAAGAAATGTATATATGTGTTATTTGAAGATTATTTCTGCTGAGGCGTTAAGAGAATAAAGTGTAACAGCAAAACTAGCTAACTGAAGGAGAGCGGCCGTTACTAGCTTAAACAGCCCGATAATCAGCCGTTAGAGGGAAGACAAACGGATCCAACAGAGTCATATTACCTCTCGCTGACCAGAACCACGTCCGCATTGGTCCAGTGTTTGAATACAGTTGGCAGAATCTTCTTGAAGGCGAAGAAAAGACCGGGGAAAACTACAGCCCCGCATGCTAAAACTTGCCACATCCTGCCGGTGTTATCCTCCCAACCTGTCCCGGAGACCTGGCCTTCTCTGCCCCGCTCTTCTGACCGTGATTCCCGCTCGGTTACACCTTGCAGTAAGGCATTTTCACGGGGCAGAGCTTCGGTGGGGTTTGTTTGGGGTTTTTTTTTCACCGGGAACGGTCCAACATCTCCGCACAGTCAGAGTGAAGAGAAGCGCAGCAGCAGCAGCACCAGTGTCGATGCTGAGCCCCTTATCTAACGCTTACACCCAGCTTCCTGTGGGGAGACTACCACAATAAAAGCCTGCATGGAAGCTTTTATTGCGAAAGGAAGCTTCCTATACACGTACAATTTACAGCTTGACACTTATGTATTCTGAAACTTATTACCAATCCTGATTCCTGCCATGATTAAAAATACAGCAATAAATAAATGCTCCAAAAATGAATAAGCATTCAATAATTGCCCCTCAAAAATACAATAAATAAATAAATGTAGGTAGAAATAAAATTATATAGTGAAACATAAATGTATATCTCTCTTTTAATCATATTTCTTTTCCACCTTTGTAATAATTACATTATTTATTTACCGTTATAATCTTCAACTTTATTTATTACTTATTTTTTTAAGTATTCATGTATGTGCATGTTATAATATTTTTTGATTGTATTATTCTTCCTTTGTATTTTTTACCCTATTAATTTCTTCCATGCTGTTTATTTCTGCAGTATTTACATTTCTGTCTGCATTTCTGCCTCATTATTAATTTAATACCATCAACAAGTACCCATGACTCTTTATATATATATATATATATATATATATATATATATATATATATATATTTCCAGCCACTTTTGTTGAAAGATTTCATTTTCTATAGCTTTTTTCCGAACATACGGCTTTACGATCAAAAGGAAGTAACCTTGCACAAATATATCACAAAATAAATTGTCTGACAAAAGTATTTTTATCAATTTTTTTTTAGAAAGCATTTTAAAAGCCACAATAATCACATTTAATGACTTTTATTACCAATTAAGGCCGTAATTAAAAAGAATATTAATCTAATGACTTTTAATTATTTTTAATGACCAGCGAAAACCCTGTTTTAATTAGCATCTTTATTTATTCGCCTTTGTAATAATTACCTTATTTATTTGTTGTCCGTTATAATCTTCAACTTTATTAATGACTTATTTTTTCAAGCATTTATTTATGTGCATGTTATAATATTTTTTGTCTGTTTTATTCTTCCTTTGTATTTTTTTTTAAACCTGTTTATTTCTTCAATGCGGTTTATTTCTTCTCTGTGGGTGAACTTCTGCCCATTTGTTGAGGTCCCATCTTCTTAACTCAAAGTTCAGAGTATTTAGTTAAAATTTCTCTTTTCTGGTGCTGTTGTTAAATAAAAGTACATTTTAAGATCATTTGAGGCAAGAATATTATACATTTAAGCATCACTCTATGGCCCATCTACTGATTTAATGCAATTTATGTATTGAGCATTTATTTATATAATTTAATTTCTACCTACATTTATTTGTTTATTGTATTTTAGGGGGCAATTGATTGTATGCTTATTTATTTATTGAGCCTTAATTTATTTCTGGATTTATTTTTAAAAATAGTAGAGCTGGTCCTCCATAGAAACAACCAACAAAAGGTTATGGTTAAGGTTAAGGTTAGGAAATATTTTATTACAAGATGGGGTTTTTTCACCAGCTTGTATATTTCATCGGTCCAGCATTTTTGAAAAAATAAATTGGAAATGGACTTGGTTGCTCCTTAAAAAATACTCTATATTTTTTTCTCATTTATTTTATTTTTTAATTTTATTTTTAATTGTATTTATTTTTTTGTATTTTATTTATTTATTTATTTATT